ACAAAAGAAAATTAAATTACAAGGTGAACAACTTTTATATCATCAAAAGATATTTTAATATTGTTTTTTTTACTTAGTATTTGCATACTTGCAAATTTTTTTATAAATTAATTTTGTAAATGATTAAAATATTCAATGGCTGTTTTTTTAATTTTTACATTATAATTATGCATTTTTGTAATTTTGAAAATGTTTTTATACATACAAAATTGGATGTGAAGAATATCGAATATTTAGCATTTAATACATTTCCAACCAATCTTTAGTGCAAGAACCAAATTCGAAATCTAAATTATAGAAAAAATAATTTAATATTCAGTTTAATGATTAGATTTAATGTTTAATTAATGTTGAGAAGAAAAAAAATATATATATCTATTAAATATATATGTTATAAATTAGAACTAAAACTTAAGTGAATTTGGAATTTCTTAGTAAAGTTAAAATTTTAAGTTAAAATTTATATAAAAGCCTTAAAATGTTAAGAAATTTCAAATCCACTTAAACACAGTTTCCACCTACAATATACATATGCATATAAATTGACATACCAAAATTGCTAGCAGGATCGCAATAGCATCTACCAGAATTATGATAAGCTAAGTCAATTGGACAATGCTGAAAAGGTGGATGGGAGTATCCTATATCTTTGAAGAAATGAAATTTTGATTTTTCCAAGAATAGGAGTAGTGCTATTGAATGAATTGGTGCATCTCCCCAACTTTTTTTTTTTAGTAAATATATATGCAGTATATGAAAATAAGTAGCACATATTAATTAAATCTCCAAAAGAATTTCAGAAGAATTTCAGAAGAATTTCCAACTAATTAATAATAATAATCTACCGTTCATAATAAAAACCACCAGCTCGATCTAGGAAATCAAAAAACTTGAGATATTTTTCGCTTCTAAAAAAATTCAAGTCACCAATCTCAAAATTACTCCAAAAGTGACAACTATTTAGTAAAAGAATTTTTTAAAAATTATAATATTTTAATAAAATAACAAGAGAATAAAATAATCCAGAACAAACCCATTATAAGTAGCCATGCTATCCCGGGTTATAAAACTAGCAAAATTATTATCAGAAATATACTGAGGATATTTATAAAGGAAATCAATTACAGTTCTCCATAGAGTAGGGATGGTCTCAGTTATTTCTAAAAGCGAAATAATAAAACCATAAGTAATATTGTTCTCTTTAATGAATTTGAAAGCGTCGTAGTCGATATCGCAAGTAAAATCAACGCCAGGTTCTAATCTCCAGTAATAATCATATTTTTCTATGAGTTCGTGACGAAAGAAAAAACCGGAATTGAAACGACACATATGGCGGTAAGATTCTGAATCACCATACAAGATACGCCTAAAGCCCATCTCTCTACGAGTATCGGCAGCTCTTTGTTGGTCTATCCATGATGGATAGTCCCACATGTGTTTTGGTATTAAACCTATAAACATAAGCAGTAAATAAATAGGAGACTTTTGATATAGAGATCTTTGATATAAAGATTTGGAGGAATTACTTATACTAACCATAAGAAGTATTAGCATTTGTAAGGGCATTTGTCATAGTTTTAAATTCATCAGTAAACTCCTGATCATTTAGAAACACATAAGGATAATTAAATTTTTTATTCCATCTATCTTCAAAAGATCTCATAGTTTTTCGTAATTGGTGTAATTCAGAATTTCGAACAAGAACGATTATTACAGCATTAAGCTGTGTATCATTTAGAATATCTTGTGTATGTTGTGTGTTGTTAGCTTGCGTATTAAATTGAATTTCATCAATCTGCGTGTTAACAGTCTGCGTATCATTATTTTGAGTATCAACCTGCGTATCAACCTGCGTATCAACCTGTGTATCAACCTGCGTATCAACCTGCATATCAACCTGCGTATCAACATGCGTATCGACCTGCGTATCGTTAAGTTGAATACTATCATCCTGTGTATCTTTAAGTTGAGTATTATCAATCTGCGTGTCATTAAGTTTAGTATCATCAATCTGCGTGTTATTAAGTTTAGTATCATCAGCCAGCGAATTATTAGGTTTAGTATCATCAGCCAGCGTATCATTAAGTTTAGTATCATTATTAAGTTGAGTATCATGAGTTGTATCAAACTGAGTATCATCAGCCCGATTAACAGTTTGCGTATCATCAGTTTTCGCGTCATTGACATCGGTATCGTTCATTTGTGTGCTATTAACTTGCTGAAGTGTGGCACTAGAGTTAGAATTGATAGTGTGAGTGAATTTTAGATCAACTTGCGTAACAGTAGTACTATCTTTGTTCGATTTAAAAGTGACATCGTTTATATCAGACATCGGAGATTCAATTAACATCGATATATCGAAAATGTATAAAGATAATGTAAATATTAAGACAATTATAATAGTTCTTCCCAATAAGGAGCGAAAATGTAAAGAAAACCTTAATATCATGTTTATTTTTCTATTATACAAACTAGTTCAAGAAAGAAGAGAAATTGTTGAATAATCTCTTGCGCATCACTATTTATCATATTTTCATAATTCCCGTGTAACGTCGTACATTTCCACTTGTAAAACGCTTGCAGCATGCCAAGATATTCTTGGATTAAGATCTTCATATCCTGATTTTATATACCGATACTACAACCTCGGCATGACGATTTCTGATTGTGTTTTCGAGATTTGCAATCAGAATAACACGTTTGTAACGTTATTAAACTACTAATATGTTGTTTACTGTGTTTATAATAGTATTATGTTCATTGCATATAAATGTAAAAAGAAATATGCTAATGCATGTAGCACGATGGTCGCAATTTTAACTTGGCTGAAATTGTAAACAGTTTCAATTCATATACCAAAAAGGTTTTAGATTTGAACACAAATAATTTAGTCATGAATTTTTTATAAAATGTGTGCATGCACGTACACATGTATGTACGTACGGTTCCAATTCCTTGGCTTTAAATTTATGTTCTAAAATACTTGCTTAGTTTGTCAATATTCTTGTCCGGTGTTGCATGTGTTTGATGTTTAATCTTTTTTTTTTTTTTTTAGCTTTCTCATTCTCAATTTCCATAATTTAAAATTTTATAGGAAATATTGAAAGTTCGAGATAGTCCCTTAAAGATTCTAATCATATTGTATGTCGTTTATCAAGGGTTAGACTCGATAAGTTCGATAAGTTATAAATTTAAATTCCTGATGTCTCATTTTCTCTTGGCATTACTCGTAATTTTTTATTTTCGAATAATTATTTTTGAAGTCCAAGTTAATTTAAGTGTTAGAATGAAAATTAACTACAATCAACCCTCGTTAATATCAACCTCAATTACAAACTTTATATAGTTGATATCCTTAGGCAATAAACTTTAAAATCTTGCAAATGATATAGAATTAACAAAGATATAAACTTACCAAAACATGAAACCTTTTTGCAACAGGAAGCAGATTCGATTTTGTTATCAGGTAAACTAAACTGATTTTTAGCTTCTAAATAAAGTTTTAGATGCAATTTTTACGATTCTAACTCTAGTAAATAACGCCAGTAGGATCATTAAATGGGATAAACTATTGAATCAATAAAAGTAAATGATCAACATATGAACATGAACCGGTACTCGGGTTTATTTTTGTCCGAATTAACCTGATCGGAAATGTTGGAAGGTGATTTTCAAGGCAAAGATCCCAAATATTGGCCAAGATATATGCATTATTTTACATTTTATGATTATAAAATTTTCCTTGCAAAAAAAAAAAAACTTTATAACAGTGAAACGTAAAATGCGCATATCTCGTGATCCACTGGAAAAATTTAATGATCTTACCAGCAGTGTTTAAAATTCAAATTTACTGTAAATTAATGTTCTCAAAAGAGCTTAATTTAAATTTTAATGTTCTCAAAAAATTTTTAATGTTCACTACAGTGCTTCTAAAAGGTTGTGATAATTCTGATAACCCAAATTAAAAACTCAACCCTGAGACTCAATGCCTACTCGAGTCAAATTATAATTATTGAGCTTTATAAAATAATTTTATAATAATAGAATTATACAGTGTATAATACAAATTTATAGATATCAAAGTACAGCCAATTTTGGTTCAGGTCGACCCTAAACTCGTTCTGAATAACACTTTTAGAGCACTAGTTTCTTATGTGTTTTTTTTTTTGAGGACATGTTGAAAGATTAAAATATTCTCAAATAAGGGAATTTTATTTGAAATATAAATATTCTTTAAAAAAAATTGAATGTTCTTTGAGAACTATGAGAACATTGAATTTTAAACACTGCTTACCAGATTAGAATCGTAAGAACTGCCTCTACAATTTTACTTAAAAGCTAAAAAGCAAAAAAAAAAAAAAAGAGTTCGTTGAATAAACTCTTTGTTACCAATCCTCGTATATATTAATATCACCATAATCATCTAATCTAAACAGGTTAATATTCAAATTATTGTTTGAATGTACCGTATAGTCACAAATAACGCCCGTGAATCAGATGCCTAAAAGCATGCTTTTCTGTTAAAATCGTGTCAGAATGCCACAGTGGCAATACTACTAGCACACCATTCATTTCGCCGACACTCTGTCTCTAGCCAAAACTAATCATAAATCAGGCCAACCCTAAACTAAATCAGGCCAACTTTGTCAAAAAAATAATGTAGGCAAGTTAATTGGTTTATACTATGAAAAACGGGTAAAGAACATGTATAAGCAATGAAATGTGAAGTTTTATTTACTATATATGGGGAATTATTACATTGTTAACGTCAAAATTATTTAACTAATGCATATAAAATATTTTATGATTGTTCAATTGTAATACAACTCACTTTCGTTATAGTGAAGTTATTCGTTCCATTAATACAAATTTTTTAAAAATTTATTATATCAAGATTTTAATTAATCTTTACTATATTGAAAGTTCACTATAACGAAAGTGAGTTGCATTTTTGAATCATTTAGTTCAAATGTTCTTCGATAAGTAGATTAAACTATGATTTAACAAACAAATGTCTTCTGCTTCTCTTTCAATAATTTCAATATATCTAAAGAAATATTAAAATTATTTAGTGAACAAACTAGATATTTAATATTTCATACATTAAATAAAATTACCTTTTGATGTAAAATTATATTTTTGAGTTATATATCTTTTATCTATTTCAAAATTATCATTAAAGACATGCTCGTGCTTCTTTTTTGCATGCAAAAATTTGGAAACCCTTTGTATTATTTCTTTCAATATTCGTTGCGGTAAAGATGGTCTGTTAACACTCATAAAAATTACTTCCGAACGTTGTTTGAGATGCAAATCGTAATCAAGTTGCTTAGTTTGGTAATCTACAAAATAAATTAATTAAAGTTTTAAAAAGCATGAATCAAATTTAATTTCAGTGTTCTAAATTAACATGATCCGGTATAAATTCTAATTTTTAGCTATTATATTGGTATTGTATTTCACGTTCGAATTTTAATCATATATATTTAAGAATTGCCATTTAAGAATGATATTTTCATTTCAGTATAAAATGCAACGTCATGAAATGACGATAGGTTCAAGTTTTTCTAAAATTTGATGCCATTTATAAAATAAACGAAATTACCTTCGTCAACGTCAATGGCTCCTATAATAAAAACCAAATTTTAAATTTTAATTCGAGTAAATGAATGATCTAATAATGCCTGATTTAATAATGTACCTGCTTCGTCCTTTTCAAATTCCTCAAGTTTGACTACTATTGAAGCAATTCTTCGAATAAGGACTTTTTTATTTTATATTCTGATTTACAAAAATGATTTAAAAATATATCGGTATTTAATAATTTACCTTTTTTGGATATTTGTTGTAAATGATTTAACATAATTAAAGTTGGTGATTTATCAATATCTTTACTTAATTCTATGATCTCATCAAATAACGACACTAATTTTGATGCGTCGGGTCTTTTTGATGGATCTTTATCCCAACATTGCTTCATAATATTTTCATAAAACTTTGGAATACTATCCGTGATTAATGGCCGTAAATCCTTTGATAATATATCCATGGCTAAATGAACATCATGAGATCTATCCATAAACGGTGGTTTGAAGAATGCCAATTCCCACATGATAATGCCTAAGCTAAAAATTTCTGATTTCTTTGTATAAGGGTTGCCACGAAGAACTTCAGGTGCTATATAGGGTAAAACGCCTTCTATCGATTCATTCTTACCTATATCGATAATGAGAAAATAATGAGAAAATAAAATAATCGAATTAAATTTAAATTATACAAATAATATTATACAAATAATATGTGATTGAGATGAATACCTATTTGTGAATTTACTGATCCGGAAAGACCAAAATCACCAAAAAACACTTTCATATTATCGTCAATAAGAATATTACGACTATGAAAATCTCGATGAACCAATTCTAACTGATGAAGTGAACTTAAAGATTTCGCAATGTTTACAAGTATTATTGCTCTTTCTTCCCATGAGATTCGAGATTTGTTTGAACGTATAAAGTTACGCAAGTCTCCTTGTTGTGCTTGTTTAATTATCATAGAATAATCGGATGTTTCTGGATGCATTGTCAACCCATAAAAAGGTATAGCGCATATCTCAAGGCATTTGTAATGTATTTCAAACTATATGTAAATTTAATATTTATGTGTATCAATATGATAATAAACAGTATTAAATAAAAGGTTCATGTGAACATTATATTATTTATAGTTACTTCATTAAGAAATTTATTGTCAAAATTCTGTGAACTCTTCAAAACTTTCAAAATAACGTTTAAACTTGGCATTTCCTGTTCATCAATGCTTTTATTTCTCGATTTAAATGGTTTCCATACACCTGAACATATTTTTGAATATCCGCTTTGTTCAAGTGAGTTTATATTTTCAATATCAGAAATTGGTATCCATTCAACAAAATCATCGCAATTTACAGATACTACTTTTGTTTTTTTAATAAATGCGTTTATATCTCCATTTTTGCTCTGTTGTTTATTACCATATTTTGAAAACAAATCTGCTCGGCAAAATTCTATAGGAAATCCAATAATTTTTCGTCCACAACGATTACAATATGAAAAGTTCTGTTGCATGACGGTTTTATTTTCTGTTTTTATTTAATAAAGGGTGGAATTTTACAGTAATTGTTCTTCATTAGATTGCCTGCTAAACGTTCTTAAAGTTTATTTATAGTTTTTTTTTCAGTACATCATTCCTATAAACAGCAAAAAAGGAAAATTATGCAAAGTATATACGATGTAAAATCAAAAGTTAAGAGATAAGCATTAAAGTTTGAGACTATCGGGATAAATTATTATTCACTAATGTAAAATTTCATTTCCGATATTTTTAATTAGTGTCTCAAAGCATGTTTAAGCGTCTGTTTTTTTTTTATATTTTTCGTATTTTCGTTTTTCTTTCGCTTTTTGCTCGCTTTTTGAACGCGTCACGCAAATCCAATTTACGTTCTCCGATTGGTTAATCTTATTTTGCTTGTGTCACTCGCACATATAACTCCGATGAATTTACATACTATTGCATAAAATTTTCTATATGGGTAATTATTCCAGAACCCAGGCTATAGAGATGGGTGACAAAATTATTTTCTCAATGGCAAAATTGACGAATTTA